AAAAAAAAAAAAAAAAATTTCTGACATCTCAATCATTTGTTTATGAATGGGATCTTCTGCTGTGTCTCCTTTGTCATTCCTTGGGGTGATCTACTCTGATTATTCATGCTGCCAGAGTTTTTCCACCGATTCCACCCCATGATTATTTTTCACCATTTGGCTAGAGAAACTGGCAATGTAAAATTGAATTCAGGGCTCCTGGAGATGTAATTGACCAGCCCTTTACCAAGGAACTGGGACTAGTGATGGAGGCTTTTCCCTTAGAGCTTTACAAAGGATTCATTCAGAACTACAGCCTGAAACTAAAGGACCTGCTTGGTGTGGTGGGGCTAGATGGCACTGACCATTATTCAGTTAGTCTCTGCCCAATCCTAGTGAGTCAGTGGCTTTGGGCTGAAATCTCAGCTGTGGAGATATATAAGCAATTAAGACCCCCCCACACACACACAGTTGACAACTGGCAGAGGAGAATCCCACAGTCCCACAACAGCACAATCAGTGTACAACCTTGGTGGATCCCTGGGTGATGGGCTCAGGTCAAAAGCATCAAACCAATTGTTCCATTCAACACAAACACGATCTGGTGGGAGAGTTCAAAAGGTCTTCAGCATCTAGGCAACAGGGGTCCACTGGCAGCTCAACTTGATCCCAGTGGGAGGGACCGTGGAGCCACCACCACTGTCAGGGGCAGTGCTACCATTGTCCAGGGTGGTGTCATAGGTTTGGAGTACTGCCATGTGCAGGTTGCTGGAGTCAGTGGGGAGCTGAAGGGCATTGCCCCCAGCTCAAGGGTCACAGGAGGCAGACAGGAAACCTAAGGATGGAGCTGCAGACCCCTGGCCTTGGGCTGCAGGAGCTGGGCGGGAAGCCAGAGGGCAGTGTTGCTGGCCTCTGGGGCCTTAGGTTAGGAGCCTGGCAGGAGTGGCCTGCCATGGACCTAAGGATGCAGGAGCTGGGCGGGGAGCCAAAGGATAGAGTGACTGGCTGTGAGCCACCTGGGTCATAGGAACCAGGCAGGAGTTACTGCCATGGCTACTGGTCATAGGAGCGTGCCCACCATGGGTTCCTGAGCTGGAGACCTAGTGGGCCATGGTCCCAGTGGATGGTAGCAAGCTATGCTCTTTCCAACATGGGGCAAGTCTCTCTCCCCTTGTGACTCCCCGCCTCCATTAAAGTTATAGTTTTAGTGCAACTGCCCCACAGTTCATGAGGTGCCCTGCCCTAGCAAAAATCTGCCAAATGCTCCAGATTTTTCAGGGGGTCGTCTTCCAGACTAGCAGGAGATGGGGGAGGGGTGTATTGGGAGTTCAGGAAGTTAGGGAGAATACTAGATCAACTTTTGGCCCAAGCAAGTGTCTGCCTGGGCTTGCAGCTATATCTCTCCATGGAGGGAGTTCTGGGCCTCAATGTTCTCTCCCCTTTGGTGAAAGAAAGGGTCCTCTGTTCAATAATTGTCTCAAGCCGCTCTCTTGGGGGGAGGGGAAGGATAACTGTCCTCTCTGGGATGGGTTTTGTACCTGAAATTTGTTTCCTTGGAGTCCCAGCTTGTCACAGCAGGGGTGATACGAATCTATTAATCCTCTCTCTCAGCCCAGCTCCCGATCTTCTGCTTTATTGAGTTATTTCTGGCCATTATTTCTCCCTCTGGATGGGAGCCTCTGCCAAATGCTGGCTTCAGTCAGCCATCTTTCCCGGGTCCCTCAGAGATCTTACTTCTGATGAAAATGGAAATGAAAGACATGAGCTGAGTAAAATCAGCATGTAGGCTCATATATTCACCAGGATCAGAGTATATGTACTTAAGTGGAATACAATAAGTAAGTCTGTGCAGTTTTCTTCCTGGAGAACCTTCATATAAATGTATTCATCATATGACTCACTAGACAAAATTTTCCCTTCATTTAGAAAGTCCTTCCCAACTATTTCAGTTGTCTGCATTCTTCAGCTGTTTTTTGACCTAGAAACCTTAATGGAATGAGTGTACCTATGCTAATAAGAGGAATATAACTGATTAGTCAAAAATTCCATCCTTCAATGTGATTGTTCATTAGATAAAATGTTACTTACACTTCTTTCTTTATTTTTTATTGCAAGTGAAACCTTGTGATTTTCCAGAAATAAAACATGATGAAGATAGATATAGACCATACTTTCCAGTAGCTGTTGGAAAATATTTCTAGTATCGCTGTGACCGTAATTTTGTGACTTCTTCATGAAATCAATGGGAGTACATTCACTGCACAAAAGAAGGATGGTCACCAGCAAAACCATGCCGCAGTAAGTAAATCTCCTTATAACTATGTTTGTGTAAAACTTCCAAAACACGGAGAGATGAAAGCTTCTATTTGACTACAATTAAGTCTTATATGATAAAAGAAAGGCCAAGGAAGAGCCATCTAGAAATAGACCAAAACATGACTTTCCCATTAGGAAGAGCTCTTCATGAAAATCACACGAAAAATACATATAGAGATGTCACAAGAATATCTGTATAATCTGTACATATTTTAATTATAAAAACTGAAGATAAGAAACATTGGATAATGATCTCTTTACATCTGGTATTAGCTTGAGTTTTTCTTAAGTTATACAGTATTGTTGGATATTTATGCAATCTTCTTTAAATATTTTAATTTTAAATTGCTGTTTCAAACAAATTTATGTTTCTCATTTACTGTTATTAATTTCTCATTCTTCTGGTCTTTAGGACAACGTATATTCAATTATTTGGAAAATGGACAATATCCATATTATGCAAGAACGTATGTAGAGGGTGAATCTGTACCAGTCAGTTGCAATTCTGGCTACAGTCTTCCCAATGGGCAGACCAAAATTACGTGTACAGAGAATGGCTGGCTTCCTCCTCCCAAATGCATCAGTAAGTAAACTGCTTTGAGACACCAGCATATTTATAATTTTCTAAGGCTCATCTATATTGACAAATATATGCCAAAATGTATATATTAACTTCTTCTTTTGCCAACAGACATGTTTGTTTAGTTGATTTATTAATTTATTTTTTTGCAGTTTTTGGCCGGGGCTGGGTTTGAACCCATCACCTCTGGCATATGGGGCTGACGCCCTTCTTTGAGCCACAGGCGCTGTCCCTAGTTTTATTTTTTTAATTATACATAAGTTGATACACAAATTTCTTGATAAGTAGATATCAAAGTAAATATGTCTATTAGTAGACATCAGTCAAGAATGCAGTAAAAGAATTTGACATATTTGTTAGTAATTTATCATTGAATATGTCTGAAGTCTGACAGTTAAGTTTCTGAATTTGCCACCATGCACCTCCACTTGCAGCTCTGTACAAACAGCTCTCTAAGGTTTCACACCCTTGGCACATCAGCCTCTCACAGCTGTGTTTAAGTCAATGTGTGGCAGTGTGTTGCTGAGAGGTGTTTACTGTTGCTATGTGTCTTTGAGCCTCGTGAGATTGTTTGATTTTGAATTAGAGTAATGAACATTAAATGTCTTGTTAAATTTGGCAAGAATTAAAGTGAAATCAGCAACAAATTAGTCCAAGTTTATAGGGATAATATCATGAAGAAAAGAGCAGTGTACACACGCATTAAATGCTTTTGAGGGGAAAGAAATTGTTGCTGATGAAGAGAGGTCACAGCAGTCAGTAAGGAACAGACCTAATGAAAACATAGTAAAACTCCATAGAATTGTTCATCAAAATGGTTAGCTGTGAGAAGTAATAGCAGACCAAGTAAACAGTGATAGAGAAATAGGAAAATATTAACTGAAACACTTGGGATGAGAAAGGTATGTGCAAAAATAGTTCCAAGGGAGTTTACTGATGAACAAAAGCAAAGGAGAAAAAGGTTGCCAAGACATTTTGTGGAAGCAAGACAATATCTTGAACCATTTGTTATCACTGGTGATGAAACATAGGTGTACCAATGCAAACCTGAAACAAAGTGTTAAAGTGCAAAATGGAAGTTATTCAATTCTCCTCAGTCAAAAATGTTCCATCAATCCAAATCAAGAGTCAAAACAATATTGTTAATGTCTTTTAGTATCACTGGAATTATTCATTATGAAATTGTACCAACTGGACAGCTAATCAAGTTTACTATTCAAAAATGTTCAAAAGACCGGGTGAAAAAGTCAGATGAAAATAACCTGATAACAACTCACGGCTCTTGCATCACAACAATGCACCAACTCACACAGTACCATCTATGAGGGAGTTTTAAATAACTGTATGGAAACACTCTACTCAGTTAATATGGCCCCATAATGACTTCTTTTCTTTACCAAAGATAAAAGAAATATTGGAAAGGAGATTTTTTTTTCTCTTCAGACAGTGTCTCACTATGTTGCCCTGAGTAGAGTGCTATGGCATCTCAGCTCACAGCAACCTCAAACTCTAGGGCTTCAGCAACTCTCTTGCCCCAGACTCCCAAGTAGATGAGAATACAGGTGTCCACCACAATGCCCAGCTACTTTGTTGTTGTTGTTGTTGTAGTTGTCATTGTTGTTTAGCAGGTCCAGGCTAGGTTTGAATCCGTCATCCCCAGTGTATGTAGCTGGTGCCCTAACCACTTAGCTACAGACACCGAGCCATGAAAGGAGATATTTTGATGACATTTAAGATGACAAGGGTAATACAATGGAGCTCTGGTGGTCATTCCAGAAAAAGAGTTCCAAAATTGCTTTGAAGCATGACCTAGGTGCTAGCATTGGTGCTAAGCTTCCCAAGGGGAGTATTTTAAAGGTAACCAGTGAAAGGAGGTATGCAGCACTTTCTCTAGGATGAGTTTGGAACTTAATTGTTAGACATCAGTTAATCATTTGACTCAAAATGATTATAAAAGTAGAGTTTAAAGTATTGTTATTGTTATTAAATTTTAAGCCTTTTTAATTCTGTGAAGGCAAAAGTGGAAACCTAATAAACACATGTATATGTAAGAAAAAAATATATAGTTTAAAGTAAAAATTAAGTATAATGATAGCCAAAAGTGACATTGATATGTTTAAGCATTGATATGACATTCTTACAGTAAAGCTATTTGTCATTGAGTTTCTCTCAGAGTCATTACTAGGAATGGGTTTTCTGGGCCATTATGCATAATCTACTTTAGAAAGATCCCTATAGTACTTGTTCCAATAGTAATAGCTCCTTTTGGTTTTACATTCTTGTTAATAACTTCTGATATGACATTTTAGTATTTACCAACTGAGTGGCTACAAAATGTTATAGTGTTGTTGTGCTAATTTACATTTATTTTATTAACAATTGAGTTTAGCATGCATATTCACAGATTAATTGGCATTTATTTATTGCAATCTATAAAATGAAGTTTAACCTTGTGTTAATTTATCTTTTTTGGTCGTTTTGTACTTGTTTGTTGGAATCTCAGAAAATTGTGAGTATTAATTCTCTTTCAATTATAAATACACAAATGCATTTGTTTATGGGGCTAGCATTTTCCTTTTCTTTAATATTTATTTTGAATATAAATTTTTCATTTTACTAAAACT